AGTTGGCTTTGACCACTGGGTCACGTAAAAGATCAAGCCTGACAACGGTAATTGCAGGGCTCAAAAATCAGAAGGCTGATGAATTCAAGATCAAATGCTTGAAGTTAAGCCATCAAAACAGTTCTTTGATGAAACTTTTGGGAGAGGGGGGAGAAAAAAAAAAAAAAGAAGAGCTTTTCATTAATGTTTTGGACAGGAAAATGCCAGCATGAGATAAAGGGAGCTCTAAAAAAAAGTGTCAGACTCCTCATGATGATGCTTAAAATGCAGTATGAAGTGCGTTAGCAAAGGGGGAATCATCTTACAGGGCATTTGCATATAAAATGGCAGGGGACGGAATGCAAATCTATCATTTGCTCCGAGGGCATTATTAGAAGAGTGGGCTACTAAAATACAAGCGTACGCTCTCCCCAGCTACTTTATAAAGTTCTCTGCCAAGCAAGAGGTTGACTTACTATTTTAAAAGTAGACTTTGGGTACGTGAACATTCCGTACCTCATCCCACATCCTTCAATTCACAGCTTTAACTTGTTCCAAATATTGAGTATTAGTAACCGGCTGGATGCTCCAGTCAGGGCTTTAAAGAACAAATGGGAACGTGTCACAGCTAGATGCCGATACATCCATTTTAGATAGAGCTGCACTGCCAACCAGCAAGTGAAATATAAGCCTCTGCCACAGCTGTCGAAAGGATCTGTCTTCTGACAAAGAAAAACACGACAATAAAAACTGCGTATTTCAGCGCAAATTTTATTCCTATGCCATATACACCCTGCGTGGTGTTCATCTGAAGCATGCTTTCTGTTGGGAACAGACAAGTAATTGCACGGCTTTCAAATACAGAGAATGAATGGGCCAGAAACACCTCAAAAACAGGCAGGGAAACAAAAGACCTGAGGTCACAGATTACCCAACATGACCAGGTATGTCCTCTTCGTAAAGTCACAATAAGAACATCCTCCCATGGAACAGGAAGGGAATGAACTCAAAAAATTACAGCCTTAAAAGAGAAAACACCCCGACAATAAGTTATGGTGAAAGCAGTGTATCATAATTTGTCAGACAAGACTATTTTCAGTCAAAACGATCCCGTGTATTTCTCCTTCGCTTCCTCAGCTTGAGTTTTGAGCCACCAGTCTGTTTAAAGAACTGTTCGCTCTGATTTAGTTGTTTATCCCCCAGATATAATCCCAAATCTAAAATGCCATCAAGACATC